GGTGTTGACCAAGAGAATTTGTTTAACAATCAAGAGCTTCTTTAACTGGTGATTATATCCTTTATTCTCATAAACTTAATGTTTGATTCAGGGGTGATATTGTAAGGAGAAATTAGATGCTTGTCACTTGTTGGGGTCAAATTCATGATCATAAAACAAAACCAAATACAAATGATACACATGTAATTCATCATTCTTGGACACTTAAAATGTTACATTGTGCTAACTTTTTGTTGCACTTGGAAATTGAAATAATAGAACAGTTTCACTTTCTATAAGCTGTAAGAGGCATTGTTGTAAGATGTGATAATGTATGAGAACTACTGTATACTGGATACAAAGACTGAAGTTTACTCTACATGTACGTCGTATTTGCTAATATTGATTGCCATGAAACAAAACTGATTAAAAAGTTTTGATCTTTGAAAACTTTCTTCCGTGCAATGGAATAATTCATACAGGAAAATAACGCGATTTTTTGAATGATCAGCCGATTTACTGGTAACGTTGAAAAAAGTAAAGTGACTTTCTATTTCACATTTTGATGACGCCGCTATTATTTACTTTTGCAGTAAATGAAACTGAAATGATCTTGAGAAAGTCTATGAGACTTAACGCTGAAAAAAAAAATTAACTCTCTACCATTTGCGTTGTAGTGCTTCTCCGGAACAAAATGACCTCATTGCGGAAAAAGAGGTACACTGTTACAAACAGGGGTAAGGAGATGGGGGTTTGAGGATACCTGATTTGTGACCTCGAGGTTGGACGGATTGTACGTTGTAATTCCTTTCGTTCCAATGGAGAAGATCCTCTTGTATCTGCAAGTGATAGCGAGAACATAGGTTGGCAAAAGAGTCAGAAAACTGGATATGAAATGTTGAAACGCGCGATAAGCAAGCCTCCATGCCAGCGGCGATCGATCTAATGAGCAAAAGTGTTAACTTACTTTCCGCGCCACGAATGCTTCGTGGTGAAGTAGCAGGCTACGTCCTCGTTCCCCCAGACTGTAGCCATCCTTAGCTTGAGTTTCAGTTGAATCTAAGTAAATCCTAGCCAGGAAGGAACGTGATCACGTCCCTCATCATATTAGGGGGAAGGGTCGGCCATCTTGGTTTACGCTGTGGTTACTGCGCAAGCGTTACTTGAGTAGTCGATCCAGTCTAAATATAAATTCGCTTGTCACGGCTATTTTGATTGCGGAGGCGGATTGGGGGAAGGGCATTTGATAGTGGACGTGGCCTCAGGAATGGGTTCATATCTTCAAATTTCGTTCTTATTCTTAAATCCATCCTCTTTCAGATTATAGTTTTACACTACTGCTTCCTCAATTTGAGAGCCATCATGATGTTACGATTGTTGTGGGACGCGTTTCATGCAGTACTTTACAGTCCCTCTCGTACCAAAATGACTCTTCTGTATAAACTGATCGCAATTATTCAGATGTGAAAACGTCAAAAACCCCAAGCACAGAGGTGCACAGGCGACTAGCTGCATCAATCACTTTTTAATCCGGACAACTGAGGTAAAGTGAGCTTTTATGCGAATTTCTCTAAGACATAGATTATCCAAATCAGCCTAATCTTTAAAGGGGGGGGGGGGGGGGGGGGGGGGGGGTGAGAAGGGGTAGCAGCGATTTTCCCTTACATATATAGCAACATTTTAACACCCCCCCCCTCCACCTGGGGGAGAACATTCATTCAAGCTGAAACAGATTGCTTCTTGGTCGCACCGAATCCGCAGAGCACACACATACACTATGCTGCTATGTCAACCTAGTCTAAGAGAAATTAGCTATTAAGATTATTGTCAACAAACTTTGCTCAACGTCTCCAAAATTTGTTTTTTTGCTCTTTTGAGAAAGTAGTTCAATGTGCCTTAAAAAAAAAAAAGTTAAATGTTAAGAACATGGGATTACACTGCTGCTTCTTTTATTTTAGAGCCAATTCATCATAAAGGTTGGATGAGCATGTTATGTGCAGTAATTCCTGGCACTTCTGTACTCACATGTTCCTCACACTATTTAACTCTTTTACTAAATGGTAAACATGTCTTGATAGCCCTCTAACTCCCAAGATCTTGTAAGTAATTCTCCTTACTGTCTGCTGTATAAATCTTTTGATGTCACTTGAGAGAATTTGGTATTGGATCAACTTATAATCGCCTAGTTGATACTTTTCTTGGTTCTCATCACTTGTCTTCTTGATTTTGTATTGATATTGTAAAGATAAATTCTGTCTTGGTCACTCATGGGAGTTAAAGGGTTAATCTCAAACACACATCGATTGTCAGACAAATGGGGGAGGGGGGTAGTGGTAAGCAGAATATCAGTAGGTAGTGGCTCATTGTTCTAGGCATGACTCCAGCTTGAGAAATTCAGGCTGCCATTATGTTCTAACCCAACATGCAAGAGTATAGTTGCAATTCAACTGTTAGGAGTAGAATCCTATACAGGGGAAGTTGTGATCTAGAGATGGAGGGTGGAGGATACTCCTTTTTCCAGCTTAAATGAGTATGTAAACCTGACAGGAATTTTTTTTCCAACAGGAGGGGGGGGGG